TACTACCACCACGACGACTACCTCCACTACTACTACCACCACCACTACTACTACTACGACTACTGCTACTACTACGACTATTACTACTACTACCACCACCACTACTACTACGACCACTACCACCACTACTAGTTACTCATACTACTACTACTACGACTACTACTACTACTACTACTACTACTACCACTACCACTACTACTACTACTACTACTACTACTACTACTACTACTACTACTACTACTACTACTGTTACTACTGTTACTGCTACTACTATTATACGACCTTTACTACTACTAGTACTTCGACTACGTCTACAACAGTTATGACACTACGACCATTACCGTTCTTATGTTTTTTTTTTTCGCACCTCTACGACTATTACGCCACCACTACTACTACTACTACTACTACTACTACTACTACTACTACTACTACTACTGCAACTACTACTACTACTACGACTACTACTACTACTACTACTACTACTACTACTACTACTACTTCTACTACCATTACTACTCATACTACAATCCTACTCCTTCTCCTTCTTCTTTAATTTTGGTGATGTGTTGTGACGCTCCCCCCCCCGCAAACAGAGTTGGTCCTCTCCTCCTCCACGTCCTCCTCCTACTCCTCCTCATCGGTGACCTCTGTGTCCCGAGGCGTGCCTGGTCACTCCATGAGCAATCAGCGCACCGCGACAGGAAGATGGTGCGTAAGTAGGGACACATTCTCTCCAGACTTGGAGGATGCAAAGCCGCCGCACAGCACACATAATGTCACTTGCAGGTCTAGGGGCAGGGGGACGGGGGGAGGATGGGTGCTGTGATCGTGATCGTGCTGGTGAATGTGATTCAGGCGATGATGGCGACGATGATGTTTTTATTATCTTGCACAGCTGTGCTCTAGAGCTCGGACATCTTCATTTTCGTCGTGGTTCGTGGTTCGTGGTGGTTCGTCCCCCTCGGCCCCTCCCCTGAGACTGAGCCCCAGCTCCCCTGGGCCACTCCCCCTTGGGACCCCCCCTCCGTCCAGGAGACCCTGGAGAGGAGCTTGGAAGGGGGGGGGGCGTGGGAGGGGGTTGGAGAAGAGACGGGGCGGAGAAGAGGTTATATACTAAGAGATCGGGGGCAACGATAGGGGGGGATAGGCATAGGGGGGGATGCATCGACCCTCAATCGCCCGTGCATCGCCTGTACGGGCCCGATAGCCCCAACCTGCCCAGGAAGGTGCGGATTCAATGCCGGAGGCCTATCGCCGATCTATCGGCGATGTATCGCCGATTCCAGTTCGATGTTTCCTCCCTATTCCTATCCCCCCCACCGTTGCCCCTCAAGAGAGGGACAGGAAAGGGAGCCGGGAAGGCCTAGAGGTCTCTCATTCTCTGGGATCAATTTGTTGGTGGACGAGCAGGACGAGGAGCAGGAGGAGGAGGAGGAGGAACCGAACATTGAACGGCGCGATCTCCAGTGGATGACGGCACCCCGAGGGGTCAGGCGGGGCGCCGGCCGATCCTACGCCGAGGCGGAGTCCATCGCCGCCTCTGCCGAGGGCGCGTTCCAGGCGGTGGCGCCAGCCGAGTTTTGTCACGATGGGCCTGTTGTCCACCACCACCATGAGTTGGAGGGGGAGGGGGTCCTCCTCCTCCTCCTCGTCTTCGTCTCCCTCCTCCACCACCTCCCTCCGCCTCTCCCCACCCCGCGCTGCCAGTTTTGCTCTCCGCTAGAGCTCCTGACCGCGCCCGCGCCCTGCGAGATACGGGGGCCCGCCTCCCGTGCGACGGGATCTCTTCGAGTGCCCTCATCGCGGCCTTGCAGTTTGTACGGCAGCTGCCTCTATCCGGCGTCTGGCACCATCCCAGAGGCCGACGTATAAAACCCCCCCTCCAACTTTCGGGCCGGGCGAAAGGGGGGGATTGGGAAAAGGGGGGTTACGAAATTTGCTGCATGCAGCTGGTTTCGGCCTCGCCGAGGGGCCCATTCCTCGATACATCGTCGCCTCCGGCGCCGGGAGGCGTCGGAAAAATCAGCTACGTGAGCTGATTATCAACCCCCCCTTGCTATCCCCCCCTTTCGCCCGACCCGAAACTTATGGTGGTGGTGGTGGAAAACAGGCCCGTCAAGCCAAGCCACGCCATCGGGGCCAACCCCCTCGGGGGCACGAAGGTGCTCGCGCGTCGCGCATCGCGCGCCGCGGCTTGGGCTGGAGAGGCGCCCCTCTCCAAGGAGACGGCGCGAGGGCGCGGAGGGAAGCACGCGCGTCGCGCATTGGATGGGCGCGGTGCCCGACAATATCGGTGACGAAGGTAACTGGAACGAAGAATGACATAAATGTATGTCCTTCTTCGTTCCCCGAACGTTTCTTTAGATGTTAATATGTTTAAACAAACAGCTAAGATGTGTTTTTTTTATGTTTTTATATAAACAAGAAAGAGAAACAAACATAATAACAGAGAGTTCCGCGTGGATTTCTCGGATCCGCGCTGGGGCCCCCCGACGGCGCCTCCGGCGCCGAACCGACGAATCCGCGCGGACCTCCGAGTTGTTATGTTTATGTCATTCTTCGTTCCCCTAGAGGTCATCGCGTAAGGATCTGTCAATTGTTAAGGACATCGGCGGCTCGTGATTCACAAGTGGCCTCCCCCCTGGCGTGGCTGGTGAAGAGATCCCGCGGGACCGAACAACTATGTCTAGTGACGCAATCCGTTGGACATCGCGGGCGCCGACGAGGGGAGCGAACACGTACCCCCCTTCCACGGCGGTCTCAAAAAACTCATGCCTCAGACCGCAACGTTCGTGGGCCACGCTCGGGGGCTCGAGTTTCGTGGCTCAACTTTCGAAGTCATCCGTAAGGGCTTCGCCCCCTGCCGCCGGCCCCTTCGCTACCATAATGGGGTATCTCAGAGTCGCGTCGGTGCGTCTCGGCGCTGCCTTGGCGCATCTGGGAACACGCGGGGGCGGACAGGCAACATCAGCGCATATTGGGACGTTGACGTTATCTAAGACACCAACGGCGAATCACCGCCGCCCCGTGCCTTTTTAGAAGCGCCTATGTGGCCGAACGTTGAGGCCAGACCTGCCAAGCCATCGGACCATGTGTTCTCCGAATCGGTTTGGAGAGCCTTCGGGAAACACGTGGGCATCTTGAAAGTCATCTTGGCGGCCTGGAGGCCATTTTGACCCTTTCGAGCCTTCGTGGAGGACGTCTTGGAGGGCCCTTGGGCCGTCTTGGAGGCCATCTTGAGCGTCTTGGTCTTGGGCCGTATTGGGGGCCTCTGGGGGCCGTCGTGGGCTTCTTGGGCGATCTTTGGGTGCACTTGGGCCGTCTCGGGCCGTCGGGAGGCAGAAAAAAAGCAAACGCCACAATCCTTCAAAAACTCATGGGTCCGTAGCCATTTTGGCTCGAGACGTTCTGGCTCCAGCTGTGTCGGCCCGTGCGAACTTGCGCTGAGCATTCTCAATTGAGGGTGCCCTGCCTCAGGCTGGGGTCATCTGGATGACAAGCCGGCTCAAGGTGATCGCGGGGGTGACAGCGGCATTGGCTGCCCTTGCCGTGTTCAGGCGCAGACGGAGGGCCAACGGGAAGAAACCGCCCGCCTCTGATCCGAGTGGTTTGATAGACTGTTGTCGTTTTATTCGCGCCGGCAGCCTTTCAGTGTTTTTCGCTCAGCGACGGGGAGTCCTTGGAGACACGTTTACGTTGACATTTCCGCTCAAGGGCGTCGTGTTCACGAACGTTGACGACATCATAGCGGTTACAGCGCTTGAGAATCGCCTCAACATGTCTATCAAGATGCCACCAGCTTACGAGGCTTTGCATGGTCAGGACTTGCAGCTGTCAAAGGGATCCGCACACAAAATTTGGCGACGTACTTTCAATGCGGTCGTATCACCTCGAGCACTTGGGAGCTACCTGCCCAGGATAATCAGTGCTTTTGGGGCCATGTGGACTTCACTGGCAGCGCTTGGCGGTGAAGAGGTGGTCCTGCGCGATCACATACGGCGTGCGCAGCTGCGGGTTATGGCAGACATTTTGTTTGGTATCACGTTCGCGGGGCCTGGCGGCGAGGAAGCGTTCCAGAAGCTTGATAGAGACTTTGAGCAGGAGGTGGGTGCCTTGTTCGCGCTGCCGCTGAACATTCCTGGAACGACATTCCATAAAGGCATGAAGGCTGCTCGCCGCATCCGCGGACTTCTGGCAACGCGATTCAAGGAGGAGTCCCAGCGGCTCTCGAACTCGGATGTCCCCGTCACTGTGCAGGGCAAGGAGCGGCCGTTGCGAAATGCCATCGACGCGGTAATCGAAATGCTGCGTTCGTCCGACCCTGAGGTTCGGAAGCTCGGTGACGACGAAGCCTTAATCGTGAACAACCTGCTTCTGCTGCTAGAGGCCTCTCACGGAACAACAATGTATGCTACAACCGCTCTCATGGCCGAGCTTCACAGGCCCGAGAATGCGGATGCGCTCGCCCAGCTGCGGGAGGAGGTGGCCGCCATGACCTCCTCGGGAGCCACTTTGGATTTACAGGCAGTGGGAAGCATGGAGTATGCAGGCGCCTGCATCAATGAAATTCTGCGGCTGTACCCTTTCGCCGGAGGCATCCCAAAGTTCTTGCCGCCCGGAGAGGTTCTCGATGTGAGGGGGAATCAATTCGAGGGCCCCGCTGACGTGGTGCTTTATTTCTCGCATGCGTTTTTCGACGCAGATCTCTTCCCAGAGCCCTTAGCATTCAGACCACAAAGATGGTTGAAAACATGTGTACCGGAGAAACTGCGCGTTAGCGAAACTGCTCGGAAGTCGTTCATGCCGATGGGTCTTGGCTCTCATACCTGCCTGGGCGCATCTCTAGCACACCTCTCCATGAAGTCCATGCTCGTCGCATACTGCCAGGGCGCCTTCCACATGCACCTCACTGGCCAGGTGGAGCGCGTGCCAGACATCCTCCCATGGTGGAAGGTGAAAGACGGCTGCCGAGCCCGCGTGTACAGTTGAGCGCAGGGCGCGTGAGGCCCGTGCCTCGCGGCCTCGATCCCGGAAGCCTCCGCCGCCCCGGCGGGGGGGGGGCCGCGGGCGCGCCTCTCGGAGCCCGGCCGCCCCTCCGCGGCGGCGCGCCCCCGCGGGGCTCGCCGCAGCCACCCGCCGGGCACCGCCATCGCGCCCCGAGGCGCAGCGGGCGCCCCCGCGGCTGGGCGGTCGAGCCGCCGAGGTGCAGAGGAGGAGGAGGAGGAGGAGGAGGAGGAGGAGGAGGAGGAGGATCAGAAGGCGAGGGGAGGCGTTGCTGCGATCGCGTTCTTGTTCAAGCACTGCCCCCTTAGATCTCATGGCCCAATGGCCGCCTCGCCCTCGTTTTCGTCCTTCTCCTCATTCTTATCGTCGTCTTCGCTTCCTTCTTCTCTTCCGTTGCGGCCCTCATTGAGTCTCTCGTTCGGCGGCGTTGGCCCGAGGCGCCGTTCTTGCCAGATGCCGCGAGCGGGCAGATTCGACGGGGCAGCGCCGCCCCGCGCTTCCGCGCGAGCGGGGTGGGGAGGGCATGAAGTAGGGGGAACTTGCAGTCGCTTTGCAGGTGCCTTCCGACCCTCGCCTCCATGTTTTCTCTCTCCTCTCTCTCTCTCTTTTTCTGTTGCGCCTTCTGGCCCTCCTTCTCGTTCTCGTGCTCTTCATCCTGTGTGGCGCCTCTGTCTCTGGCGCTCTGTGCGCATCGCTTTTTGCTTCGCGCTTCTCGGGCGCCTCAATTTTCGGAGTCGGCTGTGAAGGCAGTTCATGGTGGCGCCACTTCCTCGCGAAACCAAGCAGCTCGTACAGGCGTCCCTCGATGCGTTGTTAGGTAATCTACCGGCAGCTCGCGCTTTCGCTCTACTTGGGGCGAGCCTCTCTGGAACGTCAACTCTGGAGAAGCGAGTGTGAAGTTTCGAAAAAAACATCCTTCGAAAACTCATGGGACATCACTGATTTTGACCTTTTCGGCCCCTCCTGGAGGCCCTCTTGGAAGCCTCTTGGGCCGTCTTGGGCCATCTTAGGGCCATATTCGGTCGTTTTGGTGGGCTCCTGGCCCGTCCGACGCCGTCGGAAGCCGTTTGGGGGGGCCCTCTGGGCCGACTTGGGGTCCTCTTGGGATGCTCCAGGGCCGTCTTGGAGGCTATCTTGGGCGTCTTAAAAGACTCCTGGGCCGTCTTGGGGGCCTCTTGGGCCGTTCTGGGGCCATCTTGGAGGCCTCTTGGGCGATCTCTGGGCGATCTTTGGGGGCCTCTTGGGCCGTATTGGCCGACAAGAAGCAGATGCCAACAACCTTCAAAAACCTACGGCAAGCAATGTTTTGGTCTTCCTAGAGGCCCTCTTGGAGGCCTCTCGGGCCGTCCTAGACCAGCTTCGAGCCAACTTCGGCCATCTTGGTGGGCTCCTGGCCCGTCTGACGTCGTCGGAAGCCGTTTGGGGGGCCTCTCTGGGCCGACTTGGGGCCCTCTTGGGATGCTCCAGGGCCGTCTTAGAGGCCAGATTGGGCCTCCTGGAAGCCTCTTGGGTCGTCTTTGTGCCCTCTTGGGGCCGTCTTGGGGGCCTCTTGGGCAGTCCTGAGGCCATCTTGGAGGCTTCTTGGGCGCTGTGGGGGCGATCTTGGGGCGATTTTTGGGGGCCTCTTGGGCCGTCTTGAGCGGCCGGAATGCCGAGAAGAAGCAAATCCCAAAACCCTTCAAAAACCTACGGAAAATCAATGATTCTGGCATCTTCAGGCCTTCCTGGAGGATCTTTTGGAGGCCTTTTGGGCCGTATTGAAGGCCTCTTGGGCCGTCTTGGGCCACGTTGAGGCCATCCTGAGGCTATCTGAGGCCGTCTTGGGTACATATTGGGCCGTCTTGGAGGCATCTTGGGGCCATCTTAGCCGTCTTGGAGCCCATCTGGGGCCGTCTTGGAGACGTCTTGGAGATCATCCTGGGCCATCTTGGCCGTCTTGGACGCCATCTTGGGCCAACTGGAGGAAACAGAGGCACGACGGACGCGTTTTGAGATCCTTTCCGGGTGGCCGGCGGGACAGGCCGAAGCCCCAGGAGGAATTCTTTTGGAAAAAGAACCAACACCAAAACCGAGAGGATCCAGCCCGCCAGGCACCCTTGTGATGAATCAACAGGGGGCGGCGGATCGAAGGCGCCTACGGCGAATCACCGCCGCCCCCTGCCTTTGTGGAAGCGCCTACGTGGCCGAACGTTGAGGCCAGACCTGCCAAGCCATCGGACCATGTGTTCCCCGAATCGGTTTGGAAAGCCTTCGGGGAACACGTAGGCATCTTGAAGGTCATCTTGGCCGTCTTGGAGGCTTCTTGGGCGATCTTTCGGCGATCTTTGGAGGCTCTTGGGCCGTCTCGGGCCGTCGGACAGCCGAAAAGAAGAACATGTCAAAATCCGTCAAAAACCTAAGGACAATCAATGTTTTTGGCCTCTTCTGGCCTTCCTGGAGGCCCTCTTGGGGGCCTCTTGGGCCCTTTTGGGCCAGCTTCGAGCCAACTTCGGCCATCTTGGTGGGTTCCTGGCACGTCTGACGCAGTCGGGAGCCGTTTGGGGGGCCTCTCTGGGCCAACGGGGGACCCTCTTGGGGCGCTTCGGGGCCGTCTTGGAGGCCATCTTGGGCGTCTTGGAGGCCGTCTTGGGCTTGTTGGAGGCCTCTTGGGCCGTCTTGGGGCCCTCTTGGGGCCATTTTGGAGGCCACTTGGGCCGTCATGGGGCCCTCTTGGGGGCCTCTTGGGCGATCTTGGGGGCCTCTTGGGCCGTCTTGAGCCGTCGGAATGCGGAGAAGAAGCAAATTCCAAAATCCTTCAAAAACCGAAGGATCATCAATGATGTTGGCCTCTTCGGGCCTTCCTGGAGGACCTCTTGGAGGCCTCTTTGGCCCGTCTTGGAGGCCTCTTGGGGGTGTCTTGGGCCATCTTGGAGGCCTCTTGGGAGCCTCTTGCGCCGCTTCGGGCTATCTTGAGGCCATCTTAGGCGGTCTTGGGTGCATCTTGGGCCGTCTTGGAGGCATCTTGGGGCCATCTTAGCCGCCTTGGAGGCCATCTTGGCCGTCTTGGAGGCATCTTGGAGGCCATCTTCGGCCATCTTGAGCGAGAAAGCCGACGAGATTGGGGTGTTGAGCGCCTTCCAGGTGGCCGGCGGGACGGGCCGAAGCTCCAGGGGGAGTTCTTTTGGAAAAAGAACCAAAACCAAAACCTAGAGGGCTCGGCACGCCAGGCCGGATCGAAGACGCATACGGCGAATCACCGCCGCCCCCTGCCTTTGTGGAAGCGCCTACGTGGCCGAACGTTGAGGCCAGACCTGCCAAGCCATCGGACCATGTGCTCCCCGAATCGGTTTGGAAAGCCTTTGGGGAACACGTAGGCATCTTGAAGGTCATCTTGGCCGTCTTGGAGGCTTCTTGGGCGATCTTTCGGCGATCTTTGGAGGCTCTTGGGCCGTCTCGGGCCGTCGGAAAGCCGAAAAGAAGAACATGTCAAAATCCGTCAAAAACCTAAGGACAATCAATGTTTTTGGCCTCTTCTGGACTTCCTGGAGGCCCTCTTGGGGGTCTCTTGGGCCCTTTTGGGCCAGCTTCGAGCCAACTTCGGCCATCTTGGTGGGTTCCTGGCACGTCTGACGCCGTCGGGAGCCGTTTGGGGGGCCTCTCTGGGCCAACGGGGGACCCTCTTGGGGCGCTTCGGGGCATCTTGGGCGTCTTGGAGGCCATCTTGGGCGTGTTGGAGGCCTCTTGGGCCGTCTTGGGGCCCTCTTGGGGCCATCTTGGAGGCCACTTGGGCCGTCATGGGGCCCTCTTGGGGGCCTCTTGGGCGATCTTGGGGGCCTCTTGGGCCGTCTTGAGCCGTCGGAATGCGGAGAAGAAGCAAATTCCAAATTCCTTCAAAAACCTATGGACAATCAATGATTTTGGCCTCTTCGGGCCCTCCTGGAGGACCTCTTGGAGGCCTCTTGGGCCGTCTTGGAGGCCTCTGGCGGGCCTCTTGGGTCGTCTTGGGCCGTCTTGGACTCTCTTCGGCCGTCTTGGAGGCCGTCTTGGACCATCTTGGGCGGACTTGGAGGCCATCTTGGAGGCCATCTTGGGCCATCTTGGCCATCTTGGAGGCCATCTTGGAGCCGTCTTGGGCAGAAAAGTAGGGAATTGAGGTCCGTGGAAAAATCCCGGGACCCCGGCGGAGAGTTCTTTTGGAAAAAAAACCAAAACCAAAACCGAGAGGATTCGGCACGCCAGGCACCCGATGAATCGACAGGGGGCGGCGGATACCCAACTGGCTTTCGGCCCATCCCGCCACCGTGCCCGGGTTGTGGGTCTGAGGCCTCTTGTATATGTGTTGGGGTGTCGTGGGGAGCCTCTCGGGGGCCTCTTTGAGGCGGTTTGGGCCTCTTGGGGGCCTCTTGGGGCCTCGTGGGTATCTATTGGGCCTCGTGGGGCATCTTGGCGGCCTCTTGGGGCCTCCTGGGGGATTTTCAGTGCTTCTCGGAGCGTTTCTTGGGCCATCCTGGAGCCATCTTGGTGCCATCTTGATGGGGTGGTTTTGGGAGCTTCTTGAGCCGCATTGGAGCGTCGGAAAGCCGAAAATGCGAGAAGGTCAAACTCTTTCAAATGTATGTACATTCGACGGTTTGGGCCTCTTGGGGCTCTCTCGGGAGGCCTCTGGGAGCGCTTTCGGGGCCTCTTGGGGCCCTCGTGGGCTGTCTTGAAACCATCCTTGGGCGCCTTGGAGCACTCTCGGCCTCGGCATTGCGAATATTGCTAAATTTGCCAGGGTGTATGGCTTCGGGGACGCGAACTTGATATAATCTAGGAGGAGATGTTGGCTCGGGGGCGCAACATTATGTAATTGGCAATGGTTTATGGCCTCCGGGACGCGAATACCTTTGAATTTGCAAGGGGTTATGGCTTCGGGGGCGCGAGAATGTATAATTTACAAATGTTTGTTGCCTCGGGAGCGCAGGAATTGTATAATGTCTGGAGGTGTGTGACGTCGGGGACGCGAGCATTAAGTAATTTACGAAGGATCATGGCTCCGGGGGCGCGACCCCCATGTATTTCTACGTGTCCCACGCCCCCCCATGAATTCAGGCAGCGCGATTCAGGCGTAGTAAATTGAGCGATTTCGGGCTTCTGCCACCCTCGCGCGGACTTCAACAATCTACACTCAGGCAGAAAGCAGGATTGTTACATTGGATACTTGAAACTACAACTGGCGCAGGGAGCAGCAACCTAGTCCTACAGCCTGGGCGTCCTGGCTTGCCTGTGAACCTTACGTGGTTTGCACGACATGTTCTTAGAACACTTCTGGTTGGGGCCATCCTGTTTTAAGGCATGGGCTTTTTGCGTGCTGAGAACAGTGTTTTGCCCCTCGAACATTCTCGGGCTCCACGGATTCTGCATGGTAGGCTTATAGGGATGCTGGGGCGGTCGGCCCCTGCTCCACACAGGCCTTCGTGAATCGTCTGCGGTCCTCCGGCCTTGGAATGCCTTCTGGCAGCTGCGCCTCGCCGAGGGCGTTCCGGGGGGTGCCCGAATCGTCCCGACCGGCCTCCGGTGGCCCGAGCTGTGGCCCCCAAGAACATGCCGGAGGACGATTGTCAAGACGCTGGAGCTCAGGAGCGAAAGAAGGACGTACACGTACATGAATTCACGCTGGTTTCGAGAGTACGTTTTGCGCGAATGTTCGTATCATGCGGCTGGTCTCGCCTATCACCAAGCGCGTTCCGCAATTCGCAAAGTGCCTCCTCGCAAACGTCCGAAACACACATGTCCGCTTTGCTGCAATGTATCGTAGGTCCCCCGCGGCGGATCCAGGCCATTTGCGAGTAGTTACCTTGCGAGTAGTGGAACGCGCTCGTCTAACCTAGGCTCGGGAGGGGCTCTGATGCCTGAGCCGTCCCCTTGGATCTATGCCGGGGGACCCGTTCGTGGCCGCCGAGGCTCGCCGAAGCTAGAAAAGCCCCTTCGTTGCTCACCCGGCGTACCTCGTGGTGGCACGATGACGATGGTTCTAGGAGGAGGACGAGGAGCAGCAAGAGGAGCAGCCGAGCAGTTTGCCGATGCGGTGTCGGAGAAGAGCGCCTTTTGCTACACAGAGGTGTGAGTATCTCCCAAGCCGGCCAGAAAAAGAGGTGATGGGAGAAGGTGGAGGAGGAGGAGGAGGAGGAGGAGGAGGAGAGGAACAATGAAGAAGGAATAGGGTCAAGGATGGGATGGAGTGGGCCGAGTTAAGGAGACTGACGCTGGAGGAGGGCGAGGAGGAGCAGAAGGAGGAACGGTCAGGAGCAGGAGCAGAAATTGGGCACGAGCACGTGGAGGGGCGAAAGATCAGGAGGATGGGGCCAAGATGTGTGGTGGGCCGGCCAGGTCGCTTGGCGTTCGTTTCGGGGTCTGGCGCCAGGCGCACACACATCGCTTCTCAGGTGGATGTGTTGCCCCCTCCGGCTTCTGCTCCTCAACGTCGTGCCGGTGGAGCCCCATTACTATTTGTTTAACTGGCTTTGCTGCGACGTCAAGCGCGCATCAAAACATCTGGTGGAGGCCGCTGTATCTTGCGCTGCCGAGGAACCAGCTTTTTGCCTATACACGCACACGGTGAAAGCTCTTCCACGCATGCCGTAACGAGGACCTCTTCGGCTTCTCCTTCATCGCATGTCTGGAGAAGCTCGGGGGCGGCGACTGGAGTGATACTTCTATCGCTACGCGACCAGGCAGAGTCTCCAGAGTCTTCTGCCCTTCCTTCGCGAGCCCCCTGCCGACCCCCTGGGGCCTCCCATACTCGAGCGTTCTCTCCACCCTTCTTCCCCCCCCGCCATCCTTGGCTTAAGTCGGGCCTGTCCCGAGACAGGAGGAATATTCAAAAATACCACAAAAAAATAGTCAGGGGACGATTTTTTGAGCATTTGTTGACCATCTGGCCCTGTAGAAGGACAGGCCCGACTTATTCCTTGGCCTCCCCGTCCCCTCCTTTCTGTGGGCAGCGAACCCCTGCACACTCGGTCGGTGTACAGTTCACTGACCGCAGCCAGTGGCCCCGAGGTTACCGATCTCAAACGATTGGCGTCGGCGGACAAAAACGGCGATCGCTCACGGTTGAAAGACCCACGCGGTGACAGGAATCAAGGCAGACGTCGCCACGACACGACCAAACCGTGCTACCTTTACAGCCAACGTCGGGCATGCATATGAGCGACGCAAGACAATGGTTCCCCTCCATTGGCATCCGCGCGTATCTTGCCCACGTAAGGTCGCGCGTCAGCGGCCTCGTTTCCGACGTAGGGTGCCGCGCTGGCGGACCGCGCGAGACTGTGCGTAATGCTTCGACGCCATCTCGCGCAAGGCCCGTCTCTTGAGTTCGTCGCTCAGGAGTCTCAGATTTTGTGGCGGCATCGAGGGGCCGTCCCGGCTCCCTCCATGCCTCTCTCCCTCCCATCGCTTCTCCCTCCCCCGGGTCGCGGCCGTGCTCCCCTCCCCTGTTTCCCCGTCCTCTTCCTCTTACTCATGATCCTCGACCCTCGAGTCTCATCCTCCCCGTTCCTCGGCCTTCGATCCCCCTCGATCTTCGATCATCGGCTTTCGTGATCCTCGATCCTCGATTCCCCTTCCCCATCCGTCCTGGCCGCTCGCCTTCGATCCCTGTCCCCCCCCGTCTCCCTCTCCCCTCCTCCCGCCTCCCGCCGCCCCCCGCCCCCCGCCCCCTCCTCCCACATCTCCGTTCTTCCCCCTCCCCCGTCTCCTCTTTTATCCCTTCGCTCGCCCCCTCCGCCGTTCTCCTCCAATGCTCTCTCCTACCTCCGGCCCCCTCCTCCTCCTCCCTCCCATTTCTTCCTCGACCCTCGACCCCCTCGATCATCTTCTTCATCCTCCTTTTCCTCCTCCTCTTCTTCCCCCTCCTCCTCCTCCTCGATCTCGATCATCCTCTGTCCCCTGCACTCTATCCTCCTCTCGCGCGCCTTCCTCCCCCCCCTCTCCCGCCCCTCCCGCCCGTCGTCCCTTCTCCTCTCGCGCGCCCTCCTGTATCTTCCCTCGCCCCATCCTGCCCGTCCTCGAGCCCCCCCGCCCCGTCGTGCGCAGGCAAAGCGCCTGGAGAGCCAGCGGCGGCGCGGTGCGCTCCAGGAGCCCAAGGGGCGCGGGGCGGGGCGGGGCCGCCGCTCCCGGCGGCGTCGGGGCTGCGCCCTGCCGTGGGGCGCCGGCGCCCGCCGCGTCCGCATCCGCCCATCGACCCGCTTCGAAGTCGATTCCCTCCGCCTCCTCCTCCTCCTCCTCATTTTCCTCCTCCTCCTCCTCCTCCTCCTCCTTCTCCCTTCCTCCTCCTCCTCCCCCTCCTCCTCCTCCTCTTCCTAATTCTTCCCCTCCTGCTCCACCTGCTCCTCCTGCTCCTCCTCCTCCTGCCCTCTGCCGGCCCCAGTGAGAAGGCAGGGCTGTAGCGCAACAAATCGCAGGGGATTTTGATGCCCCCTGCCGGCCCTAGTGAGAAGGCAGGACTGTAGCACAACAGATTGCATGGGAATTTGACAGTAGAGCGTAGATCACCTGAGTAGGCGCTCTGACGCTGTACCACCTTATGCAGATGTCCTTGATGTCCTCCTCCTCCTCCTCCTCCTCCTCCTCCTCCTCCTCCTCCCGTTCCTCCCGTTCCTCATCCTCTTCCTTCTCCTCCTCCTTTTCCTCCTCCTCTTCCTCCTCTGCCTCCTCCTCGTCCTCGTCTTCCTCCCACATCCTCCTCATTTGTCCTTTTCTTCTTCTTTCCCCTCCTCTTCTTCCTCTTCCTCCTCACTCCGCTCCTTCTCCCCCTCCTCCTCCTCCTCCTCCTCCTCCTCCTCCTCCTCCTCTCCCCCTCCCATCACTACTCCTCACCCTGCTCCTCCTCCTCCTCCTCCTCCGCCTCCTCGTCCCCTCCTCTTTGCTCCTCCTCCTCCTCCTCCTCCTCCTCTTCCTTCTGCTGCTCCTCCTCCTCATCTTCCTCCTCTGTCCCTCCCCCTTCTCCTCCTTCTCTTTTCCACGTCCCCTCATTTGTTATCCTCCTGTTCCTTCTCCTCTTCCTCCTCCTCAGCCTCCTGCTGCTCTTGCTTCTGCTCCTGTTCCTTCTCCTGCTTCTCCTTTGTTATCCTCCTCCACCTCCTCCTCCTGCTGCGCCTCACCTCATGTGTCCTGTTTGTTCTCCTCACCATCATCATCACCATCATCACCATCATCTTCCTCCTCATCCTCATCATCCGTCTCATCAACATGATCATCAACACCACCATCATCATCAGTATCGTCCTCTTCCTGTTCCTCCTCCTCCTCATCATCAGCATCATTCCAAGGTTGCCGCCTCTGCCGCCGACGCCAAATCGGGGCCATGCGGTTCGGTTTTCGGAGTTTTGTCGCCACGGGGTGGTCGTTGTTTGCAGGTTGTTGGTGGCACCTTGCCGCTGGGATACTGCGAAGGAAATCAAGAGATGCAGAGAGTTGGCGCGCGGAGCACTCCGGCGTCCACACCGCAGCGGGCGTCGGAGTGCGTGGCCGATCCCGCCGTCGTGCTTTTGTTGTGGGTCTTTTGGGAGGGATGCCGGGGGTTTCTGTGGGTGGATCTGCGACCGTTTAGGTGCCTATTGGGGTTTTTTGAGGGTCTCTTGAGCTTGCCTTCGGGGCCTCTTGTGGGCCTCTCGGGGGCCTCTTGGGGCCTCCTTGTCACGTTTAAGGAAGCCTCGGCGCAAATCCGCCGAAGATGGCTCCGTGGACCCTTTCTGGGGTCCAAGCGCGCAGTTTTTTGTCGCGTTGCGCCAGGCCGTAACGACGACGAGGACGACGACGATGACGACGACCACGACCGCGACCACGACCACGACGACGACGATGACGACGACGACGACCACGACCACGACCACGACGACGTCGACGACGACGACGACGACCACCGCGACGACGACGACGACGACGACTGCGACGACCTTGGCGACCAACGACGGCGACGACAGTTGCATTGATTCTGCGGATCGTTGCAGCGCAAACCGCAGTCGTCAGACCGACCAACGGGGGCTTGCGTTTCCAGCGTTCCTTTCCCGGTTAATCCGGGTCGGCGCGCATCTCTGCGGGGTGTGGCGCGGGGTCCCGTGGGCGGATGCACCGCGGGCAAAGTTCGAGGGCGACTCGATCGCGACGCTGCGCGCCCGGGCGAAGGACTCGGCGCCCGCCGGTGTGAACCTGCGCGCCGTCCTCGACGACGTGCAGGCCCATCGTCGGCGAACGAGAGGACATCGCCGCCGAGCACCTCAGCGCCAGCGAGGCGGCTTCGGTGTCCTCGTGCCCAGGGAGCGAGTTTCTAGTGGCCTACGGTCATCCCGCCACCGTGCCTGGTCTGTGGATGAGATCCATATTGAATGTTCGCTGGGATGTCGTGGAAGGCCTTTTGGAACCCTCCTCGGAAGCAGTTTCGAGGCCGCTTGAGGGCCGGCTCGGGGCTTCTCTGGGGCCTCTTTGGGGGTCTCTTTGAGAGTTCCGGGGCTTCTTGGAGGCCTCTCGGGGTCTCCTCGGGCCGTCTTGGGACGGAAGCTCGAATTGTCGGTCCGCGGTTCGACGCGCCGAGATAATGCAAGGGCGCTCCTTCCAACTGGGGCCACGTGGGTTCGATCGGAGGGGCGGTTCGGAGCCCATGGGCGTCTTCGCGGGCCCACGCCCCCTTCGATCCTGACGCGAGAGGGAGGGGGCGGTCGCGCTGCTGGGACCGCGGAGCGTTCTGTAGCCCCGGTTTCACGCACGGGCGACAACGCGCTGATGGGCGACCCCGATGCCGCCAACGTAACAATGGCCTTTGGCACAATCCGAAGAACCCCCGCGTCTTTCCCCGAAGCGCAACGGGGCGATCACCAAATGGGGCGAGATGGGCTTGGGAGGGCGGGGGCAAATCAGCCGCCAGAGAACGCAAACATTGCACAGGCGAGGTCCTGGGAGGGCCTGGCGGATCGTTCTGCGCGACGAGAGCCAGACGCGCGGGCTTCCCAGCCGCGAGGTCGAGGCGCTCTCACCCTGGCTTGCGCGTGCCAGGTGCGGACTGCAAAAGAGCATCCGCGCGCGAGCGGGACTTCGCTCCACAGGCGCCGCGGGTCGCCGGCGGAACTGGCCGGGCCGTTGCCGGCCGGCGCTCGCGCGCGGCGGGCGCGCCAGAGGCTCCGCCAATTCCGATCCCGCTTTTGCCCTCCCAGGGGGTTTGCCATGCGATGGCGCGGGGTCGGGCGCGGAGGGCGCCCATTTACCGTGGCCGCCGGCTTTCGGGGTCGCGAGGCGGAGCCAGTGGGGGGGGGCCCGTGCGCGATCCTGGCGACAGCGGCGGCCAGCGCCGGCGGGCGCCGCCGGGCCGTGGAGCTGGGGCGACGCGTGGAGTTTCGCAGGGGGATCGCCCGTGGCGAGGGCGGCGTTGGAAGCGGCGCAGTCTTCCGCCCGGAGCGCCGCGCCCCTCTCGCCCCGCCAGGAGGAGGGGGAGGCGTCGATGCCGGCGGGGGCGGTCGCCCACTTGACGCGCCGCCGCCCGCGGAAGGATTCCCGCGGCGTTTGGCTCGCCATCGTCTGCCAAGTGGAGGAGACGGGCTCGCGGTCGCACCGATCGCGCGGCGGGTGCCTGCCCCCCCGGCCTCCTGCCATCCAGTCCAGCGTCTGCCGCTGCGCGTCAGCGACAGGGTCGAGGCGGCTCCGAAGCTCCACGGCGGGTTCGACGAGCGCGGTCAGGGCGCGCGCGCGCGTCGGATCCTCCTAGAGACGCCGCCCGCCAACCCCAGAGGGCGAACGGACGGCGCCCCGTGCGCCGCGGGCGTCTTCAGTCGGCACCTCCGGGCGCGCCAGAAAGATATTTGGCCTTCGGGCCAGGGGCGAATGCGATTCGAGACCACTCCCCTGGCGAGCTGCCATCCGCGGCGACGAGCCAAACCACTGAGGCCAGCCCGCAGATCGAGCGCGCCGCCCCGACTTCCGTCACGGGCGATTCAGGGCGCGCCCCAAGCACCCTGGAGGCGAGCCGCGGGTCTCCCGGAAGTCTCGCGGCAAACCAGTTCACGAGGCGCCGCGCGGCCCTTGAATAACGACAAATGCATTGTGCGCGCGCGCGCGTGAGTGAGTGAGCGCGCGAGCGCGCGCGCGCGGGGGCGGGGGCGCGCGAGGGGTCCTGGGGCCCGCGTTAGTCGAGGGAACCATTTTTTCGGTTGGCGCCCTCCCACGCGGGCCTCACTTGCAGTCGCCCTGGGGCCTGCCTGGCCCAATCTGGCGGCCTTGCGGCCGTCTCGGGATCCAGTTGCGCCGTCTCGGGGGTCTCTTGGGAACGTCTGGGGCCGCTTTGCGGGGATCATCTGGGCCGCTGCGTCGGGGGGCAGAGATGGCGAGAACGCCAGATCCGTTGCGTGGGATGAAGTGCCTGAGTTACGCCGCGTAGACTCGGCCGCATAGGGCCCCCACCTTCGCGCGCCACATCGACGGCGTCGCCGGCGTTGCCCCCCCTGTCTCGCCGCGCACACTGCAAGGCGCAACTGCGCCATGCAGTGTGCGCCGCAGAGATCGCGCCGCAAATGTTGCGCTGCGTAGACAGTAACATCGGTCATTTTGGCTCGAGCGATCGCGCGGCCCTGCCTCTGCGCGCCCCCGGCGGCGCGGGCGGCGGCGCCTGGGGGGGGGCCGTCGCCGCGGCCGACGCCGCCGTCCTCGCGGGCGCGGCGGCCCTCTATCGGAGCTGGAGCTCCGCGGCGCACCGCCAGGGCGGTGGCGCGCGCAGCTGCGGCGGCAGCAGCTTCCCCCGCCCGCCGCTCGCAGCCGTTGAAGCTGGTTCTGGCGCCGAGGAGCCCGGCGAGGATGCGCCGAAGCGCGCTCCTCGGAGGCGGCGCAGCGGGGGCGCCGCCTGCGCCTGGCCTCGCGGCGCGGCGCGCGGGCGGGGCGCTGGCTTGCGCGCTTCCGAGGGCGGGGGGGTCGATGGCGACGACGTCGCGGGCGGCGGCGGAGGCCCAGCGCCCGCGGCCGCTCCCGGAGGCTTGCAGCTGGAGGCGGTCGCCCCGCGGCGCGGCCTCGACGATGGCTACGGCGACGACGACAGCGCGACTCGTGGGCCGATCGTCCGCGGCCGGTGCTGGAAGGGGGGGCCGCTGCCGCTGCTGCCCCGCCCGGAGGCGCGGCCCGTGCGCCGCCGTCGCCCAGGGGGTGCAAGGGTGCAAGGGCGACGTCGTCGGGCTGGGGGCGAGCGGAGAGGGGGGCTGCCCTCGGCGGCGCGGCCGGAGCGGAGCTGGCGGCGGCGCCCCTGCTGGCGCCGCCAGCCATGGCCCTTACCTCTGTCATCCCGCCACCCGACCCGCTCTACGATGCGGGGGCGGGGGCGGGCTCTTGGCCCGCATCGCCGCCATCCCCGCCGTTCTTCGCGGCCCTCATCATGATCTGACTCGCCGCAATGGTGATCATCGCCACCATCACCATCACCAGCAACATCATGAATAGCATCAACATCATCACCATAATCACCACCATCAGCATCAACACTCTATTGTGGATGGTCAACAGGTCGGCTCCGGGCCATAAATTGTCGGCTGGGGGGTCCCAAGAGCAAAAGTCCCAGTGGGCCAGGATGCCCGGGCGAGGTGGGGGGTCAGGGTCGGCTCCGTGCCATCAGTTGTTGGGTGGGTGTTCTCAAGAATTGAGGTTCCACTGACTCAAGATGCCTGGGCGAGCTGGAGGAGTGTCAGGGTCGGTTCCAGGCACAAAATTATCGGTTGGGGGGTCGCAAGAACAGAGGTTTCAATGTTTCAATGGGTCAGGATGCTGGGGCGACGTGGGGGGTCAGGGTCGGCTCCGGGCGGGAAATTGTCGCTTAGGAGGTCTCACGGACAGAGCTTGCAGCTGGTCGGGATGGCTGGGCGAGGTGGGTGGTCAGGGTCGGTTCTGGGACAGATATTGCCGACTCGGGAATCCCAACGACAGGATGCAGGGTGGAAACCCAAGAACACGGATTTGGGGGGTCGAGCGAGGTGAAGACCTGGTGGGGGTCAGTGCCAACTCCGGGGGAGGAATTGTCGGATGGGGGCCCCAAGAACAGAGTTCCCAGGGGTTGGAATGGAACACGTTGTCGGGCGGGGGCGTTGTAGGAGGGGGGGTGCCAGGGCGACGTGGGGGGTCAGGGTCGGTTCTGGGCGGGGCGCTCCAAGGACAGAGCGAAGTGGGGGGTCAAACCAGGGTTTCGGGTTGGTGGAAGTTTTATGTGACACGCTGTGGTTTACATGTTTCAGCTGAAAGAGCAGCCCACACGGAGAGTCAAGAACACATGAGGAGGCGTAATGTATGGTTAGTAATGATATTTCGCACGCTTCATCGTCATCGTCATCCTCCTCATCCTTCTCATCTTCCTCCTCCTTCTCCTCCTCTTCCTCCTCATCTTCATCCTCGCCCTCATCCTCATTCTCCTCACCCTCCTTTTCCTCCTCTTCCTCTCCTTACTGTTCGTCCTCCTCCTCATTTTCTCCTCCTCCTCGTCCTCCTCCTTTTCCTCCCCCCTCCCCATCATCTGTGCTCCTCCTCCACCTCAACCTCCTCCTCCACCTCAACCTCCTCCTCCTCCTCCTCCTCCTCCTCCAACTCCAACTCCAACTCCAACTCCAACTCCTACTCCTCCTCCTCCTCCTCCCCTCCTCCTCTCCTCCTCCTCTTCCTCCTCCTCGTCATTCTCCTCCTCCTCCTCCTCTCTCCTCCTCCTCCTCAGCCTCCGTCTCCTCCTCTTCCTCCTCCTCCTCCTCCTCCTCCTCCTCCTCCTCCTCCTCCTCCTCCTCATCCCCTTCGGTTGGGAGGTTGGGGCGCCGTGTGTGTGGGTGGGGGGGCGCCGTCCGCTGCGGGCCAGGGCTCCGGCAGCGCGGGCACGGCCACGGCCTCGGCGGGCGCCGCCTGCCGCCGCCGCCGTCGCCGCCGTCCACTTCCGCGTCCTGCAGGAGAGGAGGGGGAGAGGAGGAGGAGGAGGACGAAGGGGAGGAGAGGAGGAGGAGGAGGAGGAGGAGGGGAGGAGGAGGAGGAGGAGGAGGAGGAGGAGAGGAGAGGAGGAGGGGAGGAGGGGAGGAGGAGGAGGAGGAGACGGAGGAGGCGGAGGAGGAGGAGGAGGAGGAGGAGGAGGAGGAGGAGGAGGAGGAGTCAGGAGTCAGGAGGCATAGGGACGCATTGTCCCGTCAGAGCCCTAGACACCCGCCGTCGCGGACGGGCCGCGGCTCATTCCCTGGCGTAGGCCGACCCTGAGTTTAACCTCAGGGTCTGCCCACGCCGACCTTGACGAAGGCCTCCAGGACGGGCTGTCCTCGATGGCGTCGTCGTTGGCCACCCCGATGTCGTCCACGAGGATGGCCTTCTTCAACTTCTCCATGCGCCGCTCGAGGTCCAGGCTGATCCTGCAGCCCACGTCGCTCGCGTTGGCGGCGAGGCTCTCGACGGACAGGTTGACGTCGCTGTCCTGGCCCCACTTCTTGACGTAGCTCAGCAGGCCCGCGTGCCACAGCATCGCAAACCTCGCCATCTCGCACGCGTACTCGGCTTTGGATTCCTTGAGGAACCTCTCCGCGAGCTCGTCGAACTGGTCGCTGCCGACGCCAATATCCTTCACCACCTCGCTCACGCAGCTCTCCGCGGACACGGAGTCCCTGCCACCAAGGAAGCTAATGGTGCCGTTCTTCTCCGTCAGCTCGGCGATGCAGTCCGCCACGTCGCAGGTGCCGTTGCTGAATTGCGGGCTCTCGTCGGCCGCCACGCCGAAGTCGTACTCCAGCTTGTTGGTGCCGCCCACTCCCTGACGAAGGCTCCCGTCGTCAGAGTCGACCAGCTTGGTGCCACCGACGATTTTGTTCGCCACCTCGCTCACGCAGCTCACCGCGGACACGGAATCCCCGCCACCAAAGATGCTGATGGTGTCGTTCCTCTCGGACAGCTCGGCGATGCACTCCGCCACGTCGTAGGTGCACATGCTTGGCACGTCGGCCGCCACGCCGAAGTCGGACTTCAGCTCGTTGGTGCCGACCGCGCCCAGACGGAGGTTCACGCCCTCCTCGTCGACGTTCTGGAGCAAGGGGAACGGCGGGATCGCCTCCAGGGACCACGGGGCCAGCCCGCTCTCCGAGTCCAGGTCGTCCTCCCACCGCGTGCGGGTCTTATGGATGGTCTGCTTCTCGTAGGTCACGCCGTAGCCGTCGCTCATGTCGACCTTGTCGAAGCTGCCGTCGAGAATCTTGCAATCCCCGTGGGCCTCGCACTCCGAGCCGCTGTCGTCGATGTGGGCCTCAAACTCGCCGACCTTGCTGTCCAAGCCACCCTCGTCGATGAAGATCGCAATCTTGCAATCCCCGTGGGCCTCGCACTCGGAGCCGATGTCGCCCTTGATGCCCAAGCCGCCCTCGTTGATGAAGGTCTCATGCTCGGCGCCCATGCACTCGGCGGGAGCAAACGTGGCCCAATCCAGCTCGTACACCTCGGGCTCGCCGTCGCCGATGTGGAACCGTTGGGTAGCATCACCTCCAGGCTCATGAAGTCCCGCGAGGAACTCATTGATGATGCTGTTCTCCTCGTCCGTTGTGCAGAGCGTGTTCGGCTTCTGCTTGGGCTCCGCAGTGCCGCAGATCTTGGGCACGGCCACACTCGCGCCGCGCAGCTGCCGCGGCTGCGCAGGCACTGCCGCCGTCGACCAGGCGCTCTGGGCCCGAGTGCGACGCTTGCGTGCCATGCTGCCGCTTCGCCAGGCCAGCCTGCCGCTGCCACAGGCACCGCCGCTTGCTGACGGTCTCTCGGTCCGCCATGGCGGCCGGCCGTCCCGGCGCCCGGCCCGGCCGCGCCCACGGCATGCTCGTCGCCAGGTTCGAGCGTGGTTGCGATACCTTGAGCCAAAATGGCTTGAGCCAAAATGGCTTCAGCCAAAAATGGCTACGGAGGAGGAGGAGGAGGAGGAGGAGGAGAGGAGGAGGAGGAGGAGGAGGAGGAGGAGGAGGAGGAGGAGGAGGAGGAGGGGGAGGAGGAGGGGAGGAGGAGGGAGGAGGAGAGAGGAGGAGGAGGAGGGAGGAGGAGGGGATGAGGAGGAGGAGGAGGAGGAGAGGGAGGAGGAGGACGACGACGACGACGAGGACGACGAGGACGACGAGAACGACGAGGCACAAGGCACGAAGAGGAGGAACCGCAGCAAGTACGACGAGGCAGGAGGACCCCCCCAGCGAGGACGCACGCCGCTCCCGGGCGGCGCAGCGCCGCGTGGCGCGCGCGGCGCGGGCGGCGGCGGCCGCCGAGGCGGCGCTGGCGGTGCGCACGGCGCGCCCCCGCCGACTGGCGTTGGCCCTCCGCGCGGCCTTCGGTCAGCCCAGACCCCCTCCAGCCGTGGCAATATCACGACGGCGGAGTAGTAGTAGTAGTAGTAGTAGTAGTAGTAGTAGTAGTAGTAGTAGTAGTAGTAGTAGTAGTAGTAGTAGTAGTAGTAGTAGTAATATAGTATAGTATAGTATAGTATAGTATAGTATAGTATAGTATAGTATAGTATAGTATAGTATAGTA